AAAACCAGCCTAAATTATCGGAGGTTTGATTTCTGTCAACCCGTTAACGAGATATTCCATGTTTGAGTTGACGTTTTATGGGGGGGCACGGATGAAGAGGCGAGGCGCGCGGTGTTTGAACCGTGTTCCACTATACTTTCGCCTTACGCACAAAACGTCAAACTTAAAAGTGGAACAACGGATATTAAAAATGTTCAGCATCGAAATTTATTCAAAACTAAAAATCTCATCTGTTTACGAAATTTTCAATATACAGATGTCCGATTGATATTTGAAAATCAAAAGCGGGCAGTGATTTCGCCCTCGAAAATAAAGGCTAAGAAAAAAAAAAAACAAACCCGATAAAGTAATATTCGAGAGCCACTTGTTTCTTAACGATTTTTTTAAATACAAAAAAAATACTTTTCGAGTGTCGCTCAATATTACGTTGTTCACTCTGTACATCATAACACTATACTCGTGTACCGCACGTACACTTGACATAAAAATGTTCACTGCGATGACGAATTATCATTATACGACCGTATATGCATGCAGCAAGACTATTCTTCTTCGTCGGCTAATGTATACGAAGGTTTTATTTTCAAAAACATTTTTTTTTTTTTTTTTAATTGCGAGACGAAAAACGTTTACACGGCAACCGACGACGACGATGACGAGCCGCGTGTTATTTCGTAAACAAAATCCATAAGAAACACGATATTATCTCGAGTAACACATATTTTTTATAGGCACGTGAGTTATAAGCAGGTGAGTAAAAAAAAAAAACCTTCAGTTTATTTTTTTTTTTTTCGCTAGTTCTTTTAATTATTTGATAAAATATGCGGATACGCATACACATGTGATACACATATGGGTATTACGCAAGACCCGTGAAATAATTATTCGTACGTACGTATATCTGCTACGCTGCGTTATGTACAGAAATAGAAAAACTACTGCATCGGCGGCGACGCTTCGGGCTCGCCGTGTTATTTAACGGGCGCGCGCGCGCTTTTCGTACACGCCGAAGACACGGCGGCGACTTTCTCTCGCGGCCGAAAAAAAATGTATTATGAACATAATATAGACAAAAAAAAAAAAAATCGCGTACGAACGGGTGTGATGGAATCTCTTGACGGCGGCGGCCCCAGCTGCGGTGACGAAACAACACGTTCTGTTGCGATTATCATTATTGTTACGACGGTATCGATCCATGGGCGTTCTGTATATGGCACTGCACTACGCCGCCGTAGTCGTAGGAACGGTACGGCCGACGACGATGGTCATTACAACGTTCGCCGGCTTCAGCGGTGGCGCGCGCCCGGGAAACATCGACGGGAGAGGACGTACCCAACGATAACCGTGAATCGAGAGTAACCGTCGTCTCTATACCCGACTCGACTGTATGGGAATCGGTAGTTTAAAAGCCGGATCCCCGGAAAAATAAAATCCCCACTAGTTGCGTCTGTGCCGGAACGTGCCCCCCTCCCCCCCCGGCGTACCTCGCGAGACGAAATATGCCGCGCGAGCCGGGACCGGATTGGCGGTCTACCGGGCCCCGGAGTCTGGCGGACGAACATCGGCCCTTGTCCGCCAACAACTCGATTTTACCACTCCGGGAATGGAGAAAAACAATATGGCGAACATAATTCGCACCACGGGCGGGCCACAGTTTTAGGCGAGCGGTTGGGAACGTATAGGATTATTATATCTGTTGTATTGTAACTGGATCGTTATCAACAATAAACGCTATCAGTTACCGATAATTTCTCATAGTTTTCCGTAGTTTAGGTCACACACACACCCGCGCGTGCATACATCATCACTATCACACCAACTCACTATTATAATATTATACGCGGTTACGCTTCGCTGGTTTTACTTAGCGAACCCCCTTGTCCACTTCCCGTTAAGTCATAACATAGAAACATGTACATATTCACGATAGGCACAATCCAGTCCACGGTAGACAAGTGCGAATACCAAATCCGAAAAAGGTGTCCAAGTATATACCCGCGTGGCTTCAGTTGCCGCCCCTGACTCAAATACCACCCACCCACAGTTCAGCCGGATAGACTTCGTAAAAATATGCAAATTCGATTGTCGAGGCATGAGAAAAAGAATCGTATCGGTCAACATTTAAACGAAAAACGTAACCGCGAAGGTTTTCAAACGTCGCAAATCAGATCGTTACGTTTATTTTCGATAGCCCATCCGCTCCGTTTTCTTCAAACGACCGTACTTCCATCAAAGAGTATGGCGTGTGGGTATCCGTCCGGTTAAATAAATATTTAACACGGTATCGCTTTGGCGTGCGTGCACACCGTATAACATAATACGGTTAATTGAATAAATAAAACTGCTGCGACAAAACCCCAAATGCGGGGCCGGTTTAACGGGCTATACAGGGCGATCGACACGATGCGAGACATTCGTCATTAACTCGGAGGGTATCGGGTTTTTTTTTTCGGAATTTGTTTTTGAGATCGTTTAAGAAACCGGCAGCTCTGTGAGAAGTGTTACGTTTCGGTTAATTTCTGTCGGCGTCGTCGTAATAAGGAGCGCGTAACCGCTACCCATACACGTTCGATTTTCAAACGGCGGCGACCTATGTACTGATGATTCCGTAAACGGACGACGCATGGGCCGCATTCACTATGCTCACCAGCCGTCGAAACATAAAAGATGAATATCGCCCGTCGACGGGTCGAGTAATTTCAACGTCAAAATCGATTTTCGTTGTTATCATGATATAGGTCGCCGCGTTCACAATCCAAAAGCAGTCGGCGGTTTCCGCGCCCACCACCACCCCACCCCCACCCCGAAATCTATATGGGCGACAGAAGAAAATCGACATACACGCGCGTTTATGTCGATCGCCCTGTATAGTATATATATATACATATATACGTAAGTATATACCGTGCACAAAACGTCGACCGGTCGCCCCGCTCGTTACGTTCAATTTATTTCTCGTCCCTCGTCGTCCGCGTAAATTACATGCACGTATAAATTGTACACGCACGGTTCTTATTAACATCAAGGCGTAGACGGGAAACGAAAACCGCCGGGAGTTCTCGGCGACGTCGGAAATATACGGCGGCCGCGTTGCGACATTTTGTTTACGGCGACGGCGACGTTATTGTAACGCGCGCACGGGCAGAGACGCGATTGCGATAATATTATGGACGGCGACGCGCGATACCATTTTTACGGCGATTCGTCGTGCGGTTACGACCGGACGACAAACGGTGTCGACAGACGGGCACACGGGTCGGCGGGAAACGCGATGCTCGTGCGTTCGGGATTCGCCGCGAGAGAGCAGTCGCAGCTGCGAAACATTGAAATTCTCTCCGAGATCAGTCTTCGACGTTTCAATGGTCCCCCTCGCCCTCCCCCCCCCGTAGGCGACCCGTGTCACCGAAATGTCACCCTACTGTAAAATGTGCAAACTGTGACACGGTGCGTTACGTTTTCTTACGGCCGAACAGCGCCGTAAATACTGCAGTAACCTAACCTAACACGCGGCCGGAATAACGCTGCTGCGAGGGTCTTTTTTTTAAATTTAACAAAAGAAAAAAAAAACCCAATACATTTAATGTATCGACAAAAAATCACAACGGTTCGTTTATAAGTTTCGCGACAATCGCATTTTTTTCCGTTATATTATAGTTTTCTAACGTTTAATTATTTTTCTAATATCGCGGCCGATTGGCTTTATTTATATGGTAGTGATGCGATGAATAATTCGGTTTTTCTCGCGTTCGAGTTTTTATACGTCAGAAGTACTTAATCAAAAAAAAAAAAAAAAAAAAAATGCGTACATTCTACGTTTCGTAATAATTCCTCCTTAAAAAATATACTCAATCGTATACCGAAAATAACTTTCGAATAAGTATACCAATGTTTTTTTTTTTTCCCCCCGTATAAAATGGGGCACTTTAAATCCGTGGGGCCTTGTGCTCGTGCACTGCGACCGTTATTCAAGGCCACGGACAATCGCAGCGAATCAGACGTTCGTTTTTATTTTGTTTGCTCAACACCACAAGTCAACGCGTAATCGAATATAGCGGACTAACGGCGGCGTTTATCGCGACTCCGAACCAAACATTGTTTGTGAAATTGGTTTTTTGCGGTTCACCCCTTCCCCGATCGGCCACGGACAATCCGCGGCGTTTATTTCCGATTAAAATTCCGACGCGAGCCCGCGAAGCGACGCGGCCGAAGTCCCGGTCAATTATATAGGACATCGCTGTCGTCCGTGCAGCCGTGTCGGGTCGGATACACTAGGGCGGAGCCGGTAAGTTCCGATCGGCTTCGTCCTGCCTATATTCGAGGGGGGAGGAGGATACGGGGTAAAACGGGTCAAAGGGAGCTGTCCCCTGCACTTTGAACGCGCACGCGTCCATCAATGGCCAATCATTTAATTGTCCGAGCTGCCAAAGCCGGCGATCGTCTCGTTATTTAAGCCGATTGATAGCTTTTTTCTAGTTTTTTTTTTTTTATTCCGCGTTTGAACCGACAGAAACGGAAGGATCTGTTTTCAACAATGCTTCGCCGCTGCCATCATTTATTATCGTTTTACTTATTTTACTATTCAGCATAATTATTTTGTTGGGAATCCTGTTTTGCCCTTCGCGAAGCTGCAGACTCACACGAGCAATTATATAAATAAACAACTTATGGTTATACTCTAAATTGGCCACCGGTGTTCAACAAAATTTGAAAATCGGTACGAAAGAAACTTTTTCGAAAAATTAGTCGACCGAAATTCGTTTGTTTTACTTAACCGTACACCTTATACCAGTACGGTAAAAAAACAAAAATTAGAAAAGTGCCTATTTTTAATGATCGCATATGGAATAATCGTTGATCAGTGGCGCCAAAATCCCAAACACTACACTTCAGGTGACCCCCAATAACACAAGCCCATTTTGTGTCAAATATTAAGGTCGACGTAGGTTTTTAATTCCGTAAAATTGATTAGGTTTGGTAACCAAAATTTAGGCCCAAAACGAAGCGGCTTAATTTCGAAAAGCGGTCGGGCCGCTAGCCCGGACTTAACACATCGCAGGAGGGTTCGGCGCCACCAAACGACGATGACCGTGGCGTCGCTCGAGTTCGGTAAGTTCGAATCGTCCGAAAAGAAACTTTTCACCGCGGTGTGTTTCAATTAGGTCGCGTCCGATCGCAAAACGAACTCGTAACGCCCGTTATGGGTTTCAAACGAGATGACTGAATATCTCGTGGGCCGGAAAACGGCCGGACGTCGTCGTCGTCACCGGCAGAGCCGTAAACAGCGAATAGTAAAAGTACGAAAGTGCCGGCGCGCGGACGACAAACAAGAAGACGGCGGCGGCGGCGGCGCGCGTATTAATAGGTATTGCCGCTGCGGCCGTCGGTATGCGAATGAGAAAGGAAGAGGCGGACGAACGGGTTTTGTGCGACGGAAACGGCGGACGGCGACTAAATAGGTCTTTGACCTCGGGCCGCGGCGGCGATGACGGTGGGTATACGTACGAAAACGCGCGTAATGGCACCGCAACGGACAGCCGAAGACGCGCGGCCGCCGTCCCGCGGCGCGGCCACCGTTCTTCGGCGGCCGTGGCGCTGCGCACTCGTCCCGCGAGCCCGACGGAAACGGACGACCGGCGGCGCGCAGAAGGTCGACGAGACGCGGCGCCGGTGTACCACGCACGCGTGATCGCAATACCGCTTTTCAACCGAAACACGATCTCGCGCGCGCAAAGAGCGGTCGCGTCCTCGTTCCACTTCGCGACCCGTCGTCCGCAGCAGCAGCCGCAGCAGCAGCAGCAACAGCGACAGCGCAGATTTCCACGCGCTTCGCGCGCGGCCGGCCGGATTACATAACACCATAGCATATAATATACGCATGGTAATAATATAAATTTTAATGGCGAGTCGGCGAGCTAGCCATACGGGCACTTAGTGAACGTGATTCATCACTTCGCGTAACGCGTCCGCAGTGCGGCCGGTGTTTGCGGCGCGCCCGCGTCACGGATACCCTGCAACGTGCTAGGGGTTACGCGCGGTTTCTGCGGTGTCCGAACGTTCCGCGACGACGACGACGACGACGCGGTGTGGTTTTACACACTTGTAAACATAATAATGTTGTTGTTGTTGTTGTTGTTGTCGTCGAGTACTGCAGCGGTCGCACAACAACGCGATATCTCTATAGTGCAGCAGTATACAGGGTGAGCCGCGGGAATAGAGGCGAAAGCGCGTAACTCGGGATATTTTACGTGTGCGGCCCATTTTATTTTCACTTCTATAGCGAATGCCGTTTCGAGTTTCGAAGAAAAAAAAAAAAAAAAACGCCGAACGCGCGACCGATAATCGGCCAATGACTCAATTTGAGAATCAGACAAACGCCGTTTTTACGTCGGCGAGTACCGCCCGGAGCCTATCCGATTGTTCGTGGCATATTGTGAATTTTTTCGCGACCGGCAAATCGAACGGTCATACGGGAACGGCGAAGAAAACGGCCCGCGACATACGGCAATAGAAAGCGGATTGTATATGCGCTAGTTCGCGAAACCGCCGAAAACTCGCGTGAAAAACCGAACGGCGTGATCCGACGGCCCGAACTAGAGTTCTTCGTCCGGACTTCGCCGCAATCCCGAGCGCAGAAAAACCCCGTCCGCGGCCTTCCTGCGGACTCCTCATCCCACCTCATCCCACCTCCTACCTCTCCCTCCCCCCCCCCGGTCTAAAGAAGGAAATCCTATGTCCGGCGACAGGAAGGATATCGTTAGGAGAAACACGGGACGTCTATCACGGGATGTCTATTAGTGTCGAGAGACAGAGAGACACACGCACACACATAGAGAGAGAGAGAGAGAGAGAGAACATTTCGAACGGACGTCGCGTTCCGGCCGCGGCGATGCGGGCTCAGGGACGCGCGCGCCTTTCGTCACAAATGCGCCGCGGCCGCCGCGTTTACGGCGGTAATACGATAATTTAGGTCACGCGCGCCGCCGGTAGTCGTTTACGAGTTTACACTATACACGCGCGCGCGTTACATGACGTGTATTACGTGTAAATGTTTTACCGTATGTTGTTCGCGGTCTTCTTAAAACAGCGCTACGTCGAGCATCAAACGTTCGATCGCTCGAAGCGTTCGGCGACGGTGCCGCCGGGCCGCGACGTTTCCGCGTTGTTGACGTGGGGAGGAGTGGCTCGGCTCCGCGAGAAAGTTATTTAGCCGCCGAACGCGAAAACGCCCCCCCAAAAACATACGGACGTCGTACGAAACAAACGAATACGGAACGCATTTCAAAAATCGTCATTGGGCCTAAAGAAGACCGGATTTATACGCTCTAAAATCCACACGAAAAAAGCATTTGAAAAAGTCAAAAATGCCTTGGAAAAAATACTTATTTAAAAAACGAAAACAAATGTATGGGCTTGAAATTACCACTTTTAACGGATTTAACTCACAAAACTGACATTTTCGGACACCGCAATGACGATTAATAAAACGCAATTCTTTTTTCCAATGCGTACGATTTTATTTAAAATAAACTGTTTTGCGTTGAACCGTTTCTGTATAGTGTTAGGAAATCGAATTTAATACGTCAAAGCCATTTGTGTGAGTGGGGTAGGGGGGGGGGGAAATTTTGAACGTCGTTTTTGCTGTTTTTGTTAAATATTCGTAAGCGCTTTTTTCGGGGACTTTTCTGACGTATTAAAGCGCCTAATTGTGAATTACAATAAGAGAACACAAATCCGGTCGCTAGACTCGTGGCATGTCCCCGGAACAACGTTATTACAACGCCGAATTCGAACGGCTTCCGATAAGAGTTCGCGGGTGCGTGTCATATAAGTGTTTACGGACGCCGGGTCTGTGATGAACAGAAAAAAAAAAACCCCGCAACTTTACGCGCGCACGCGATTAATGTTCCGTACGGGTGGACCGAATTGAAAATTTTTGATAAAAAAAAAAAAAAAAGCGATAAATATTCTCCGATTCGGCGAAAGTCGCGAAATCGATTCTAATAATAATATTACGGTTTATGTCGCGCGGTCCGAACGTGCCGTGACCCGACCTGACCTAACCCGACCCGACCCGACCGTCACAATATCCGACTGCGCGCGTAAAATCGACGCGGTTTTAATGTTTCGAAACCGTTGCGCGGGGGGGGAAAAAAAAATAATGAAAAACATTAAATCAATAACAAAACCCGATCGGATTCGGCCGAAAACGACGCTTTCGGCCGGCCGGGCCGACAGCCGCGTGACCTTGCCCAACTCGAACGGCGACTAGACGCGCGCGTTGGGATAGGCTCGTCGCGACGGTACGCCGAGGACCCCCGTCGTCCGCGCGTATAGGCGACGCGCGATAATAATTGGGGAAAAAACAAAAACAAACCGTGTCACGTAACACGCCCGACGAGGAAATCCTACACCGCCGTCCGCGGTAACGTGTACACGACGCACACGCGCGTACGTGTATTTTTTTATTGCAGTAGCGCGCGTGCGTACGACGCAAGGATATCTGCAGCATGCAGGTGGATCGGAGGAATCGCGTACACGAGGACGGGCGATTATTGTTTTTTTTTCCTCTTCTTCCTCTCCTACCTGCCCGCCCCCCCTCCCCGCCGAGTAAACTCTACACTCGAGTTTTTTTTTTTTTACTACGTATCGTCATAATATCATATTATATAGAGTACAACAATATGTCCGTGTATAACGTTTCGTAATAACACGCGTGTACATTATGCAGGACGATTGTTTTATCGCGAACCGGCCGGAGGACCTCGCCGTTGTGTACGGCCGTTTAATCGTTTCGGCGGCGTTTTCGAAATTCCCCTCCCTCCCCCCCCGTCACCACTCCACACACGAAACGATAGTACCGGCTCTTGGGTTTTACACGATTTCGGACGTTTCGAACGGACAGCGGCCATCTAGACATCTCTAATTACTATTATACAGATAACGCCGCAGATAGGAGGAATAAAATATTATATATATATATAAATATATACAAGGAAAGGTGCCGACGACCGCCGATGTAGTACTCCGTATTGACAGTGGCATGCTCAGGAGGGGCGGTGATGCGGGTGATGCATTACATTTCAATTGGGCGTCGTAATCTCTTGAGACTTGATGGTGAAATAGCGGGGGTTTTTTTTCTCTCTCCAACATCAACCCCGCCCCCCTCCCCCCACCGTGCGTTCGCTCGGAGGGACTTACGAAATAATGCGTTTTAAAGCCCAACGTGCGCAGAGCGAAAAATGTAAATACGTCTCTTGATTAAACTTTGCCGGTCTGCCGGTACACTGCGATGACACTAATCTCGTCGTGTCGCGAGACGCGCCATCAAAATATTGGATCGCTATCGGTAGAAATAATACTCGTGGTTATACAACGTGGCGTCGCGGTGTTGTGCGATAACAATCCATACCCGAGTACGATTGGGCCCGAACAAATGAATACGCGCGGTCGCAAAACTATTTTAGGCCCGTGTATTCTACGTTTTAAGTACGCTCAAGACGCGGCAGTTTCACCGGCGAAAACCTCACACGAGTAGCTCGTATTGCGCGGCGCCCGGTCGAATTTTTGCTTACGCGCGTGCTCGTATTCGAATGTACAACACGAGCGTTTGAAACGACGTCACGCGAGTGTTTTTAACGCGGCTACACTGACCGATCCGTGCGGACGGATTGTGGCCGATAACGGACCGATAAGAAGGGCAGCACTAACCGCGCGCGTCGAACGCGCAGACAAAACACGACCGACGAATTATCCCGTCGGCGAGGAGTACGGAAACAAAGCCGAAGTTTAGATGTTTCGAAAATCGAGGTTTCGACGGTTTTGGTGAAAGTTAATTGTGTTATTAATATATTAATTAATGCGCGCATACGTGTCACAAGAATACGGTTTGAAAACGCTAGTTTAAATTGATTTTATTTTCGACGTCGCGTGCAAGTCTACGGCGACAGGAATTTCAAGTCCCTCAATACCGTACCACCGCACACAATGGCGTCAAGGTGGCGTCCTATTTTTCGGTGTTCCTCGGAATAATTATTCTATTCATAACTGAAAGGCATTTCGACCGAAGCCGATAGTCACGACGACGGTGCGCGGACAGCGAGGACCGGTCGAACGGTGGGGATTCCGCCGGTCCGCCAACGTTCGAACGCGAAAATAATCGAAACAGACGGTTTGCGCGGTAATCGTAAAGAGCGCTGGTGGAAAAAACTTATAAAAAAAAAAAAAAAAAACACACACACACACAAACATTTTCCTCGTAACGTAAACGGTTGTAACGAGCTGATAATACACGTGTTCTCTGCGATTTCGTCTGTGAGGGGAGGGAGACGAGTCTGAAAGAAACGACACCGCGTACGTGTACCGTACATACCGCGCGAAAACAAAAACACACGCGTTGCTCTACACAAACTGCGATATAATTTGCACATTGTACGTTGCGATATGCTGCGACAACATTATTACATTTGTATACAGGGCGATCGACATCTCGGACGAATATTTGTTGTTTGCGAACATTCGAGAAACGATAATAGCTAATGAGTAGCTCGGAAACGTTACGTTGATCTTTTATTTTCGTTTTTGTCGCCCTTTTTTCCTTCTTTTTTTTTTCGGCAAGACCGCCGTATACTTTTTATTTTCAAACGGCAAACTATACACCGAAAATTCCGAATATCATTGCGGTTTACGGTATTATTCAAACAGTAGTCGCGAGTCGATGAGAAAATCCCGGTCGTTCGATGTGCTCGGACTGCTGAAACTGTAGACAACAAAAGACCGCACGCTCAAAAAGAAGGCGGGTCGACCCGCCGCTCAAAGTGTTTTACTAAAATTCTACATCGCGAAATGGCCATTTC